ACAGACCCATTTCATTGTTATCTCTTGAAAAAGTCATGTATAAACGTTTTATAAATTTTATCGAAAATAAAAATATTTTGCACCATTCACAATATGGTTTTAGACAACAATATTCAACACAACACGCAATTCTTGATATCGTCAATAAGATACAAGCAAACATTGAATTGACAAAAAAAATTTACTTGTGGTATATTTATTGATTTAAAAAAAGCGTTTGACACAGTTGACCATACAATCTTATTACGTAAACTTCAACATTGTGGATTTAGAGGTATAATCCATGATTGGCTTTCATCATATCTGACAAACCGCTTTCAAACAACACAAATTGAATCTAATATTTCAACAAAGGAGAAAACACTTTGTGGAGTACCACAAGGATCAGTACTCGGTCCTTTGCTTTTTCTAATCTATATAAACGATATTCACCGTTCCTCAGATAAATTTAATTTTCATTTGTTTGCTGATGATACTAACTTGTTATATTCTGATAAAAATCCTAAAACTCTTGAATATATTGTAAATACTGAATTTGCAAAAGTTTACGATTGGTTACAAGCAAATAAATTAACAATGAATTTTAAGAAATCTAATTTTGTCATGTTCTATCCTTACCAAAAAACGCTTAATTACCAAATAAGTGTAAGAATATTTGACAAAAAAGTTGGAAAATATTTTTCACTTGAGCGGAAGGAGTATTTAAAATATCTAGGAGTTTTGCTTGATAAGCATTTAACTTGGAAACATCATATAGATTACGTAGCATCTAAAATAGGTAAAACAGTTGGAATTATTGCTAGGCTAAGGCATTTTGTTTCTTTCCAGGCTCTCACAATTATTTACCGATCTCTTATACTTCCTTATCTATCATAATGGTATCACTATTTGGGGAAATACTTCTCAAATATTTTTAAAAAAGCTTCTGGTACTTCAAAAACGCGTTTTACGAATAATGCACTTCGCTAACAATCGAGATCACGCTGTTCCCTTTTTTAAAAATACAACTAATTTGCCAGTGATATGTTATATTTTGAATCAGTTTCGAAGTTAATGTATGACGTGATGATCTCTTTACCCAAGTTGCTACTGTACACACCTATGGTACTAGAGCTTCAACCGCTGGTAACTATCAAATTAAGTACTCTCGTACAACTCTACAAAAAAATGCTTTTGTGTGGAACACGTTGTAGAAATCCACACTTTCACAAAGTCACAAATCACGAGTCACAAACTTGTACGTTTTAAGATAGTTTTTTACACCCAACACCAACAAGTACAAAGTTATTATTATACCCAACCCCCAAATCACTAAGATTCTAGCACCTAAAAGAATCACGTGATATGTCACCTACGTCATTACCCCCCTAATCTCTATAGTTTCCGACACACTCCCCCATGTAACTCCTGGAAGGAGATACATGCAAAAGGAAACTATTCTATAGCAGACTTTTCTATAAGTGAAATAATGAATTATCAGTAATCAGTTCTTTCGACTGAGGAACAAAACACGTTCTACGATTTAAATATAATAGACTAGTTAGTAAACAAGCTAGAACACTATTCAAAAAGATACTCAATTGTCCTCTTGGGCAAGTTCTTCCACTCTTAATTCTGCAGCCACTGCTGCATGTCGCTTCGGACGAAATGACTTCGCTTCAGGATCTAGTTTGACGTCCTTCGACGGTTTCTTCGCCTCGCACTTTAACTCGAGAGGATAGAGATGTTGGACCGCTCGTTCTAGGTGAGATCTTCCGCAACGCAACTTGACTTCTCGAACGATCCCGTCACGTCCAGGGAATAACTCTTCCACGACACCGAGTGGCCACTTACCTCGATTCTTTTCGTCGCTACGCACGATAACTACGTCACCGACCGCGGGAGAAATGAACTTTTCTTTCCGATTGCTGTTGTGCCGTTCACGTAATGCCTTCAGATACTCCCCAGTCCAGCGTTTCCATAGTACGTTTTTACATGAGCGTAAGTGCTTTGCTCGCTTACGAAGATTCGCATCTTCTTCTCGCCAAGGATCCTGCTCGGGAAGACGACTCGTCCGTTGGTAAATAAACGCCGAAGGAGTTAGGAGAGGAAGGTCAATATCTTCTTCTACGTAGGACAGGGGACGGCTGTTCAATTGAATCTCGACATCGAGAACCACGTCCGCAAGCTCATTCCACGAAAGCGTAACTCCCCCAACGCACTTGTAAAAGGCACGCTTAAAGATCCCCACCAATCTCTCAAACTGACCACCCCACCAAGGGGCACGACTTAAATTAAATTTCCAGTGAATCTGCTCATCTGCCAAATAGCCTTGAAGCTGCTCGTCCTTTCTAACTTGTTTCAGCCATCTCGCAGCCCCGATAAATGTACCACCGTTGTCAGATATCATCTTCACTGGCCGACCCCGGCGAGCAATCGAACGCTTAAGACTGCCAAGAAAGGTTGTTGTCTCGAGATTAGGAAGGATTTCCAGATGCAAGGCCCTTGATAAACTGCATGCGTACAGAACCAAGTATGCTTTCCCTTTCAAAGGGCGCAGAGCCCTCAGTTCTTTCCTTGGGCAAAAGGCCGGGAGGAGGGACAGCGAGTGCCCGAGCTTGAAAGCGTTTGCATCCCCAACACGACTTAATCACTTTTTTCGCAAGTTTCCGCAGTCGAGGAACCCAGTATTTTTCACGGACACGAGCCGTGGTGAGGCCGACCCCGCCATGTATCGTATGGCAGTGCTCTCGTTGAACTAGTTTCTCTGTGAACAAACTCGTATCTGGCAGGTATACGGGGTAGTGACCTTGAATTCGACCACGGCACTCGAGTATCCCACTTGCGTTGGCTTGGAGATTCAGTTGGAGTTTGTCATTGGGAAACTTCGGCGAGGTTTCTGCACGGGATTGAACTCTTCGTATCCACCACTCCATCTGTGACTCTAGCTCAACTGACGTAAGAGGACCACTAGCAGCTGGGATACCACGACATTTGTCTAGAAATCTCTTCATCAGTGCACAAACTCTTAACGTTTTCTTCAGGTTGCCTCGCTCGAGTAGATCGTCAAATTCATCCCTTTCGCTCACTGTCACGTTAGCAATCACTTCACGAATTAGTTTACTCTCTGCTGCCGACTCTGGACTTGGTTTCGTAACAGGATTCGTGGGCCACATTTCAGGACTGGACAACCACGACGGTCCGTTCCACCATAGATCGTTGTCAACCAAGCCAAATCTTGCTAAATCTGCGGGATTTTCTCCTGAAGGAACATGTCTCCACGCGTCGATGTGGTGTTCCAGGATCTTTCGCACGCGATTCGCTACGAACTGACGGTAGTCCCCATTTCCACAGATCCAATGCAAGGCCACAGTGCTATCGGTCCAACCGTGTACCGAGACGACAGGGAAATCTTCAAGAGCACGCCGCAAGTTATCTACGATATTTGCTGCCATGTGTGCAGCAACCAACTCCAGTCGAGGAATAGTGAGACCTTGCTTCGCTAATCTGGATTTGGCGGCTACCCGGCCTTGCGTTGTACCACTTGGCTGACGAACTACGGCATAAACTGCAGTAGCAACTCCATGACCGCTTGCGTCGCCGAACGAATGCAGCTCTATCGCTTCGATCGGTTCACGATATGTAGCCAAACTCCGGGGTGTTGATAGATAGGAGGCAGGTTACATTCCCATTTTTTCCAATGATTCGCTAAGTTCTCTGGCAATGGACCACCCCACGGTAGTTTTCTCTCACATGAATCGCGATACATCAACTTTCCTTGGAGCAAGATGGGCGACGCGAGTCCAAGTGGAGCGTAAATACTCGCCAGCTTTGCAAGAACTTCTCTTTTTGTTGACACGTCTTGATTTGGGGGGAAAATCACACTCAACGTATCGTTCCGTTTGTCCCAAGCCACACCAAGGAGTTTACCGCCACTTTCGGAGGATGGAGGGAATTGTTGCTTGACATAGGTTTGGTCAGTGTCACTCTGTGAGGAAGGTTGATTCAACTCAAGCTCAGGAGCATTCGAATTCCACTTGTGGAGCTGAAACGAAGCATCTTCAAAGATGGTGATAGCATCTTGCTTCAGATCACTTGCTGAGGACACAGAAGAGGCACCCGATATAAGATCATCTACGTAAATATCCCAAGAAATTTCGTTAACTCGATCTAGTAATCTCGGCGCCCAATTAGCCAAATGCTGCTCTATCACTCCTCCTAACAGAAACGGAGAAGACACCAACCCAAATAATGCTCGCGTAAATCTTAACGACACAACTTCGTTCGAATTAATGTTCGTTAGCCAGTGGAATCGTAGAGCATCGCGATCTTCTTTTCGAATACGCAACTGGAGGAACGCTTTCTTCATGTCTGCAGCGAGGATCACGGGACGGAAACTACCGCGGACAAGGACGTCCCATAACTTGTTCTGAAGAGCTGGACCAGTCTCAAGACAATCGTTCAGCGAGGGGCTTCCCTTTTCAGCGCGGGCTGAACAATCGTACACGATACGCATTTTTGTGCTTTGGACGTTTTCTCTGATCACTGCACGATGGGGCATGTAATATTCACGACCGACAGATTCAGGTGGTACCCGTTCAACTATGCCTTGTTCCAGCTGCTCATTGATGATGTTGTTGTATTCTTCGAGTTTATTAGTGCATTTCAATCTTTTGACGACTGACTGAAGGCGGCGAAGACTAGCTATACGGTTGTCAGGAAGGGAGGGATGATTACCTTTCCAAGGCAAACTCGTTTCGTACCAACCGCCGTCAGGATCACGTGTGAGTTGTTCGCCAAATTCCTGGTACACAACGTCTTGATCACCCGACGGAGAGTCTGCTAAACCAAGAACGTCTAGAGCGCATAAACGCTCATAGTCTGTCGAATTGAAAAATATGCCCGGCCACGGTGGGATTCGAACCTACGACCTTTGGATACTAGGTCGTAGGTTCGAATCCCACCGTGGCCGGGCATATTTTTCAAGCTCGCCCGGTGTGGATATGCACTCAGAGTAACATCGTAAACATATTATTCACCTGAGTACACAACACCAACACAGAAAAAATTCATATTACTAGAACACATTGGTATAGAAGGAACTAGATACTGTTCCGAAATATCACTTACTCGAACCGTCCTGACCGCGTAGCTCAGTTGGAAGAGCATTGGGCTAGTATCCAAAGGTCGTAGGTTCGAATCCCACCGTGGCCGGGCATATTTTTCAAGCTCGCCCGGTGTGGATATGCACTCAGAGTAACATCGCAAGCATATTATTCACCTGAGTACACAACACCAACACAAAAATAAAATTCATATTACTAGAACACATTGGTATCGAAGGAACTAGATTCTGTTCCGAAATATCACTTACTCGAACCGTCCTGACCGCGTAGCTCAGTCGGAAGAGCATTGGGCTAGTATTCCAAAGGTCGTAGGTTCGAATCCCACCGTGGCCGGGCATATTTTTCAAGCTCGCCCGGTGTGGATATGCACTCAGAGTAACATCGCAAACATATTATTCACCTGAGTACACAACACCAGCACAGAAAAATTCATATTACTAGAACACATTGGTATTGAAGGAACTAGATACTGTTCTGAAATATCACTTACTCGAACCGTCCTGACCGCGTAGCTCAGTCGGAAGAGCATTGGGCTAGTATTCCAAAGGTCGTAGGTTCGAATCCCACCGTGGCCGGGCGTATTTTTCAAGCTCGCCCGGTGTGGATATGCACTCAGAGTAACATCGCAAACATATTATTCACCTGAGTACACAACACCAACACAGAAAAATTCATATTACTAGAACACATTGGTATTGAAGGAACTAGATACTGTTCCGAAATATCACTTACTCGAACCGTCCTGCCCGCGTAGCTCAGTTGGAAGGGCATTGGGCTAGTATTCCAAAGGTCGTAGGTTCGAATCCCACCGTGGCCGGGCATATTTTTCAAGCTCGCCCGGTGTGGATATGCACTCAGAGTAACATCGCAAACATATTATTCACCTGAGTACACAACACCAACACAGAAAAAATCATATTACTAGAACACATTGGTATTGAAGGAACTAGATACTGTTCCGAAATATCGCTTACACGAACCGTCCTGACCGCGTAGCTCAGTTGAAAGAGCATTGGGCTAGTATTCCAAGGGTCGTGGGTTCGAGTCCCGCCGTGGCCGGGCATATTTTTCGGGCTCGCCCGGTGTGGATATGCACTCAGAGTAACATCGCAAACATATTATTCACCTGAGTACACAACACCAACACAGAAAAAATTCGTATTACTAGAACACATCGGTATTGAAGGCACTAGATACTGTTCCGAAATATCACTTACTCGAACCGTCCTGACCGCGTAGCTCAGTTGGAAGAGCATTGGGCTATTATTCCAAAGGTCGTAGGTTCGAATCCCACCGTGGCCGGGCATATTTTTCAAGCTCGCCCGGTGTGGATATGCACTCAGAGTAACATCACAAACATATTATTCACCTGAGTACACAACACCAGCACAGAAAAAATTCATATTACAAGAACACATTGGTATTGAAGGAACTAGATACTGTTCCAAAATATCACTTACTCGAACCGTCCTGACCGCGTAGCTCAGTTGGAAGAGCATTGGGCTAGTATTCCAAAGGTCGTAGGTTCGAATCCCACCGTGGCCGGGCATATTTTCAAGCTCGCCCGGTGTGGATATGCACTCAGAGTAACATCGCAAACATATTATTCACCTGAGTACACAACACCAACCCAGAAAAAAAATTCATATTACAAGAACACATTGGTATTGAAGGAACTAGATACTGTTCCGAAATATCACTTACTCGAACCGTCCTGACCGCGTAGCTCGGTTGGAAGAGCATTGGGCTG